TCAATTTCCATTCAATTGCAATTTGTCTGAAAGTTGTTTTGAATCTAAACCTGAAAATTAAAAACATTATGCACCATTTTTGATTTCTGTCACATACAAACGACAACAACATTGTTATTAAACTGAAATAATAGACAAAAGTTAAATGAATTCTTTTAAATAATGCTGCACTGAGGAATATGTAAACACTAATAAATAGTTATTTCGAAACTGTAACATTCACAGTTCTCTTATTGATTAGCCGGACACAAAATATTGCTTCTTTATTGCTAGTCCATTTTGTTAGCATTCATATCTCTTTTTGACAAAAATGTATCCATTGGAATATGGCTTCATTTTTGATAAAGAATAATGAAAAATAACCCAATTATTGACCATCAATTCATGTAACAAATAAATTTAAAATTATTCATCATGTTTCAGCAGTGACTTTTTACTGCCCAATCTTTGGAATAACAAAGGACAAACAAAAATTGATTAGTGAATTTCCAAGTGAAGTTTTGCTTTATTCATTTTGCTTTGGTATTATGCGGAGGTGTACTGGTGGCAGACATACTCTTCAAGAGGGTTTATAAAATCCATATATATTTTTGCCTAACAAACTGTAAAATGGCTCATGGCAGAGAACATGACAATCAAAAGTAGGCATTTTTTGCAGTAGAAGTTGTGTTGAATAAAGTTTAAAAGTAAATCGTTTATATTCAACGTGAACGTGATCAGTAACTTCCATCTGTCGTCATTTAAACAAGTTGATCATGGTTGTTAGAATCCAAATGACTGACGATAGAATAGAATAATAACAACTAATCAAACAGAAAACTTACTAGTTCTGTAATAAGATGACATGGTGCAATGCAATTTTAGGCATTTTGGTATATTCAAAATTAAAGATTTGAATAGAATAGCATGAATTCAGTTTATTTCATTTGGTACTTTTCCGTTGCTTACAACCTGTAATACTTAAGAATCATAATATCGAATTGGGTTTAAATCACTTACATGAAAGACTTTATTTGGAAGTTGCTAAGATCACATAACAATATAGCATAGAAAGGGTGGAAATGATTCTAAATAGACTAATCAAAACATAGTAAATATATACCTTACCCAAAAGAATACTGGTAATAGTTACTCAGTAAAATAGGAAAACCATATCGTAAATCGTTAATTTGCAAATTATCAGTTCATCATATCGAACTGGACTGTTCCTGTTGCAAAACATCAATCCATTGTCACCATTCATGTGTTTCATACAAATTCCCTTGTGTTCTAACTCTTCCTTTCTTGATCTTCCCCCATCTTCTGCTGCCAGACATTACGTTGACACTCACTTCATATACTACTTATAAGTAGCTCGCACCACAAAAGGCCAGAATAGTATGAGTAGAACTCAGTTAGTTAAAATAAGATTATGAAGTTAGGAGATTCGAAATAAAAACGTAATGATGTAATTAGTTGAAAGAAAGAGTTGACCGAAATCCAATGATGTAAGGGAGTAATATTTATCATCAAGGTAAAGAAAGATTAACCATCACACATAAATCAAGTTTCAGGCGCCTGATAACAACGGCTTCAGCAAAACCTTCAGAACACTGGAGCTTGACTGTTTATTAATAACCTTGAAAGGTACTATATCCATGAGATGTTCAGTGATTGCAGTTTTTAGAGCAAATCTTTCTTTCTTTCGAAGGCTTTTAGGAAAATTTTAATAAATCTAATTTATATACTCTATTCTGTTTTGGCTAATGTAGTTGCTTTGGCAGGGCTAGGGTAAATACCGTTGCCAGTAACATTATAGGATTGCGTGGTGAGCTTTGTTAAGGTTATGGAACATGTTGTTTTACAAAATATTCACAGGTTGCCTAATGCAGTGTTAAGCTTCTTGCTTACTGTGTTTGCAACGTTTTATCTTCTCAGTTACAAAATAACCTTTTAGTGTAAATGTATTCAGAAGTCAAAACAAATAATGCCTAAAGTTACACAATGATAGTTACTTCGAATTTGTCTTTGATTTGTCAGATTACTGGAAATAAACACTGAATGGTTCAAACTTCTGTCAAGAAGTGGGATCAAAGTCAGAAGTTAAAATCATCGTTTATACATGGAATAATGTAGCCTCGGAACACCAAATGATTCAAACTCTTAGGTCTTAGCCTTTTTAATGAATCTCCATGGTTAATGTTAACCACATTTTAAATGAGCAACATTTGTAAGAATTTGAACTTGTTAGACGTCCATATGCTTGGAAATTCTAATATTAAAATATCTTTATTTTGCCTATTTCTAGACAAATATTCACAAAATACATTTTATCAAATAACACCATCTAATAATTTTGAATTTTTTTCAGGACATTATGTTTTGTACACAAAACGTCGCAGTAATTCTGAGTAAAAAACCAGATTCTCAAGTTGCATACTTCATGATTATATAATTTTATGAACCTGATAGTGTGAAAGTAGTTGTGTTATTATTCTTTCTTACTCTTGAATTATTAAATATGTAACTGGTGATAACATTTAAAACAAATTTTCACTTACTTCAATATTTTGTATTCATATATTTCAATTTCATGTCGAAAGTGCGATTCCAAAAATATTAATTTTGTACTTTTATTCATAATGAATCAAGGATCACTAAGGACGTATAGAAAGTACTAGTAGTGTAATCAAAAGTTTCCATACTGTCCAAAATGAAATTTTACTCTTTGGCTTATAACACTGTATTGCTCTTTTTTTAAATTAAAAATGAGGATAGAGTTTATTTACTAAATTATTCATAAATTTACAGCTCAGAGTGCTAAGGATTCACTTTTACCTTCTTCCATAACCATCTGACAGAATTTATCTAACTTCACTTCACGGGATAGAAGTTTGTTTCGATTTCCACATCCCCTAACCGATCACCACAGTCCTGCTTACTTACTTACTTACTTACGCCTGTCACCCCCAATGTAGCATAGGCCGCTCACCAGTTTTCTCCAACCAACCCCGTCCTGGGCTTCTCTTTCCCACTTCTTTCCAGTTTTTGTTCATTCTTCTCACATCTTTTTCTATTTCTCGCCGTAATGCAGTCCTGCTTGGTTGTTCAAATATTTTATCTCGTGTTAAGATAATTCAGTTTTATGCTCAAAGCGGTTAGACTTTTATATAATCAAGTTAAGAACTGAATATAGTCTACTAGATATTGACCCTTCACATGATCGAAAACTTAAATTTTAGGTCTCATACAGGGAGCTCAGATAACAGATGGATTAAATTAGTCGGCCTTAATAAGTTGGGGATTTTGAGAAATGATTCGATCGAAAATCTGCTTAAAATAGAAAATGGTTTGTAAAGATTGTTGAAGATTTACTTTTTTATTTTAAACTGATGTCAGCTGGAGTTCTACCATGTCAGATTTTGAATAAGTGTAACGCAATATCATGTAGACGATAGTTTTAATTCGTGTGGCTGATTCATATATACTGCACAGTACAACTAACTGTTGTATAGATTTGTGTCTATTGATAATCCTTATTGAAAAAAACCAATACTAGAAATGGAATATGTCGAAAAGAAAATCAGTCGATATGCATTTAAAAAAAAAAAGTATTTGTTATCATCTGTTATGGTCTGTCGGTGACACATGAAATAGGTTTTCCCGAGTTTGTATGTTGTGAATAAAAAAAACTATTCTCATGCCTCTACTCACTTCAAAGAAATCAATCATCCTGAGTTCATAACCCTTTTCCAAAGAGACTCGTACAAAAATTCATTAAATCAGTCTGAATAGATTTTCTTTGAGATTCCTAATGATAATGTAGATCTTTTAATGATTCTGGATAACTTTAATGTTGTTTATGGATTAACGCGTTAACAGGTCAGCAAAACGGCTTAAAGAGAAAATGTCTGAGTCACAATGTCAAAATCATTTCAAATGCATATGTGTCATTGAAACATATAATTTGCCCGGAAGTTATAATTAGACAAATTAGCAGTTATTGATTTACTTTTACAACTAGATCTTCTCTGAAGCGAATAAGTATTTTTGGCTACCTTCAGATTCAAATGTTTTCATGCCTTTTCTACAAAAGCTTAAGACGTATTATATCAGTAAACTAAAAGTCCTTCAGTTTTTATTTATTTTGTCTCTACTTTCCGAAAGGTTGATTTTTGTTATCATTTTGTTGGGTTTGATGCCGAAACCTGAAATTATTTATTTGATGACTGATTTCTAATAAATAATTGCATACCGTTACCTATCCGTATTTTATAGATTCCCATTGTTCGCTTATGTGTGTTGTTCTACCCGTATTTGTCTTACACTGGACGGTCGTTTTATCCTACAGTGAAACTGATCAACAGCGCTCATCCGTATATGCGGCAAGCGAGAACTGAACCAGGGATTCTCAGTTCAGCGCACGCAACTAAACTCTAGACCACTGAGCCACCATTCAACAGCGTTAAAATCAATTTCCTAATGCTTTCAAGTTTCTAATTGTGGTCTAACCATGATTGATTCATGACTTAATGAAACTCAACAATCTTCATAACCCTACAATGACAATTTGTTAATTGTTGTTTTGCAACTAATTTCTGTTTTCGCATATTTTTAAATCAATCATTCCCAGGTCTGAATTAGTTGTTTGAAAACACTAACTCATTTTGTGTAAATAAGTAGTAGATTTTCACAAAACAAAAATTACATTTGCAAAAAAAAGAACTACTTACTTATTTCATAGGAAAGGAAATAGTTTCATATTGAATCAATCTAAAGAAACTGTAGTAATGATAGTCTATGAAGTGAAAATTGTTCAGCAGAGAAATTACAGTTACTCAATTGTTTTTTGATGTTTACATTCCGGTGAACACCTCAAGAGAACAATTAAAATCACTTAGAGACATAAAAAGGAAACGGCATTATTCTGATCTTTCATTTTCACGAGGTTACATGGGAATAATAAACTTGGAATAATTTATGCAAATTACTCAAAGACTTTATTCTTTTTTTATTGGTAGACAATTTTCATAAATAGAATGGTACGTTTCCAAACTATATTTTGGATACAACTTTTATTAATCAGTCTATTCTACACTCACAAACTTATCACATCCATGCCAATTGCTGAAGAATTGAGTATTGAATGCACAATTCAATGCGGAGTTGAAGCAGACAAATGTCAGAAAGCACAAACAACAAACCGAAAAAATATAGAAGTATGTGTGCAGTTAATGTTTGAATGTGTCAAACACTGTACTGGACCACCACCTGTTGAAGATTACTATTATTACTAACTAAAAAAAACCATCAGTCCATTTATCAGTAAAATAAATGTAATGGTATCATAAACATCTCATAAATCTGTATAACAAGAAAATGTAAAATCATAAAAATGAACAATAAATTTTTATGTCAAATTATTTTCTGTTTTCTTTTACAATACTCTCGACTACTGCTAGACAGCGGATTGTTATAAATAGTTTAGAATAGTGTATCCTGGTAAATTAGTGCATACTAATGGATTTGATGTTAGTAATGAAGTATAGCCTTCGGCTTAGCCTATTAAGACAGAGCTTTTTATACATTCTTAGAAGCGTTGATTTGATAACTCCAGCCATAGCTGCTACCTTGATGTGATGGTCGAGCTTGCCAATTTTGATGACCCAACCGAGATGTATTGGCTGGAACGTATGTTCATGTAGGTCCTTCCATGCCAAGCAGGTCGACTGGAGAACGATGAGACTAAAAACAGCTACTCAAGTCGTACTGATGACTGTAGAGAGGTGTGATAGCAGTAAGGGGTTTCTCTCGAACAACCAGCATCTGCTGCAATGTTGCCTTCTCACAAGAAAGGAAGGGGTTAAAGAAGGTTGACCCTCAATATGTCACACCTCACCTTACCTCCTAGATTTTCGTCTCCAGCGGTAAGGCCTATTACACAATAGCGGAGCTCACACTAAAAACTTCTCACAAATCACCGTTCATGACCTGCCTCAAGAAGTTGTCCCTTGGGCTCTGTGGTCACGCTCCCAAGTCTCTAAGACCAACACTAATCTACCTTCCTTCTCGGGTTCCTCAATAAATACCCTTCCACAGTGTGGTCAGCCGGGAAGTGTTATCGCCCCTCATACCAGAAACAGCACACAAGACTAAACCGATCATAATAAAATATTTCCTACCTACCCTTCTTACATCCCTTGATCACCCTGAACCGCTAATGCAAACGATTTGAGTCTCCGAAACGTTATTTCTGGTCCTCTGAAACCCCGTTCTAAACCATATGTTGGAGCATTTATTGTACGGACACTGCGTCAAATAGGGAAACACGTTCCTTAGCTAGGATTTTAGATTCTCGCAACATCGTTATATGCTGCGTCTCCAAAACACGCATTCACGATCCGACTAGTGTCATTCAATTGACCTCAGTGTCAAAATATAGAACCAACTAGATTTACCCTTCGTCTATCTGGAAGCCCTGATGCTTCTTGCTGGTGTAGCTATAGCATTAGGCCCTAAAGTAGAACTAGTTCGGGATGCGGTTTTCCCCTCAAAATGAAAAATACTGCTACAAAATTGGCTTGTATCGGTACCTGAACTACTGATAGGGAGTGAAGCAGTTGAGCGTATTGACCTCACTACTTATCTAGGGAGTCTCATCAATGCTGATGGCTTGGTGACTGACGAAATCTCATTAGGGATAGGGAAGCCTCGACTGGATTTTGCCAACCGGCGTCACATATGGCGTCGGCGAGACACTGTCTGCTAACCAAAGAATGAGTCCCACTATCCTGACAGTTGCGTCTCTGCGCTAATGTGGTACGGCAACCTGAACTGATGTATGCACGAAGTTCTACATTGTTATTGACTGACTGACTGATTTGATAACGATGAAAAGCAAATGTAAGTTTATAACAGTTTTAGGCCAAACTGGAGAGTCCTTAGGTCAAAGTGCAGTCATGTTGTGTCCTCATATTTGGTTGCGTTGGTCAGCAATAAAAAGCAGCGGTTACTAAACTTATTGTTTCCTAGTTTAGGCAGCTTTTATTCATTGGAACGGGGAAATTCAAGCATAAACTGTGATTTAATGGTTCAAATAGAAATATTTAAAACTAACATTACCTAGCTAAAAAGCTACAAAATGAATTATGTTCGAACCTCTTATTTTCTGAATATGATTATTCAGTTTATCACATACACATATTGATTAAAAAGCATATCATATACCACATTACATCAGACTACATTAACTAAAACCTGAATAAGTGATATATTCCGTAACAAGACCGTAGGAAAGATACTGTTAGTTTATTATTAGTTATGATAAACAGAAGGAAATTTCTAAACAAGCACGTCAGTTTCCCTGTTTAGATCTGTCCAAGGATAAATACAAATCCAGATGCAATTATGTGTAAATAAAACGAGTTATTAAATAGGTGAGCGAAATTCTCCTCGAGTCAATGGAATGAAGCATTTTCTTAGTTGAATATCCCTGTTTACACAGTTACTTTAAATTCACACAGAGTTTACTGAACCGTTACTCCAAATTATAATGTTTACTAGTCTATAGTTATATAATCTGGTCAACATAGAACACGATATAGTGTTCTGTTTATTATTTTCTCCATTCATTTGTGTATACGCCTGATTAGAAATGTTTGTACCTGTTAATCCTCCTAAAACTGTACGTGTAAACATATTAGTCAGTGTATCCTGTGTGTAAGACTGAAAACAAATTATATCAGTCAATGATAAAAACGTATTATTGGATAAAATATCAACCACTTCGCAGTGTTTTTGTAAATATAATTTCGAAATCATAAATGTTTTACTAGGAGGGCCTCAAACGTCTTAGGGTTGTATATTATAATCTAACTAAGCTTATATGGTACAATTCTTTTCAGATATCAACAGTGGCTTGCTGGAAACCTAGATTTGAAATCCAAATAAAAGTAGCAATCGCCCCGAAACCACTGACAGAACTGTGAGCAAGATATTCATTGAGTATACCAGCTGTTAGTAGTTCATAAATAATCAACCAAATTTGCTAAAATTATGTTAGTATCTATTAAGTTACTTACCACATTTAAGGGTTATACAACTTCCTAGCTGCAAAAGTTACTACTCTTATGTTGACAATCATGGTTTAATCATTAATTAAAGGAAACTAAATCAGATTTCAGTCATAAAGTGTTTATAACTTTAGTAAATGATTGGAAATATTACATCAAACGTTTCGAATATCCGCACTAATACCTTATTCTAATGTATAATTTCATTATGTATAAGTCCCATGTAAATTGGTCAGATAGTAGTATTCCTCTTATTCGGATCATGAGTGCATATCTGACAGAAAAACTATTCCCTAAGTCTTTTGCTTTGGAAACAACAGCGCACTTCAAAATGTTTTGTTTACTAATATTTACTAAACACATTCAACTAACTTTTAGTCAGTTATTCGATAACTGACACGTAGAATAATTGTCTATATAGGCCAGCGGAAGTTAACTTGTTGGAAACATGCATCTTACTAGAGGGATAGTATCAAAGTAACAGTTAATTATGAAAGTCTCCAAATACATAGCTCACTGAAATTATTCTTGTACTAATAACACACCAGACACATAACAAACAATTATTCAAACAAAAACGAAATCCTGAAGATTAATTTAACTAGTAATATATTCTTATTCATTTACTTTTAATGTATTGATTACATTTGCTTTGATTACTACAAAATAAATGCCAGCTTGTTTGTAGGCTTCAAACAATAGCATTAGGAATTTGAAAAAATCAATACTATGACGATCATAACTTTTGCTAAGTATGAATGAGATTATTCCTAGTGAGTTAAAATGATAATTCAGAGACAACTAAATGGAATCTCTGAGTATTTCATCATATTCACATGAAAATGTAGGCCTAATTTCTTGCCAACTCTAAATGTGAGTATTTTATGATATTCACCTGAAAATGTAGGCCTAATTTCTTGCCAACTCTAAATTTGAGTATTTCATGATATTCATATGAAAATGTATGTCTAATTTCTTGCCAACTCGAGATATGCTAAAGCATTTTCAAACGATTACATCTCATTTTATAGACAGTGCCACAAAAGTTTTAATCGGCCGTATCCATTTCGGTTAACCGAGAAGGAAATAGCTAATTTTTTCTTAATAAATAAACGCTTTGCTTTAGAAACCAATCGAAGTGCATAAATCGTGGTTATCAAACTTTTTAAATCCTACAAACTACTTACAAGTAGGTTGAACATTGAACTAAAAATTCCACGCAATCTTAGTTTTTTCAGCCTACGTGCACAGTTGCAAATACCAAAGAAGCCATTTTAAACAAATTCCTACCTCAAAATACTGCGCTTTTGAAGCATATTAATTCATGTTATTATTCGTTTCAAACTATAATCACTTTGTCAATATTACCCCCATTTTCACCGTTGCCTATCTCTTATTAGCATGCTAGTACTAAGAACTGTATTAAGACATCGATTGCTTCCCTCCTAGTTACATGGCGTGTCACCATCTATATTCTCAGCTTTTTTTCATTCATTTTTTCCGTTTATAACTTAGAAAAAACTTTAAACAATTGACGTATCAAATTAAAGTGAATTTATTATATTTCGCGATTTATAGTCAGCTGCTTACAACCTAAATCTGATAGTATACGTCATTAATATTTAACTTATATCATAATATATGAACGGTTCTCATAAGAAAAAAGTATTTAAAGGAGAACAAGTATGGAGGAGTTATATGAGTTATTTATATTCTAAGTAATGTGAATATTCTAGAATAAACAACCAAGAACGTAAAAAGCGAATTATTTGGAAATCAGATAATAATGTTTTAGTTGTGTAACTCGGAAAACAACACTGGCTGAGTACAACTCAGATCAGAAGTGAGGATTAATGATCAGTGTCATAGAAAGACTAGCTGCATAACAAATCGTTTAGAATGAGTTCACTACGGTATAGTAAGATTGATAACTGTGTCTTTTTGGATGCATTATATTTGTATTTAAGTCGGTTTATGTCCATTGTTTCAGCAAATCGTAGCAAATTCAACGTTCTTAGTTCAGAAATTATCTTGAACGACCTCAATACATCAACATCATGATCACTGTCAAGCAGATGGGTTGCGGTTACATCTGTCATCTGAATTTAAGCTTCTGTGAAATGTCCTCAAAAGAATGGAAACTAATCATCCTCTGTACGTACAAATAAACTGGTAGGTATAATTAAGAGTAATATAAGACGGCGATTTGTTCGCATGTGATTGTT